ATTGTCTTAGGAGGAACCCAGGGCCAACCGCACCAGCATATGGTCTCACAAGGGGTCTGAGGATCTCATCTCGGTACCTAATGGCAGTCAGGCTACCTCTGGCGAGCACATGGAGGGCTGTGCGGCCCCCCAAAGAAATGCCACCCCTCACCATTACTGACCCACCGCCAAACCGGTCATGCTGGAGGATGTTGCAGGCAGCAGAACGTTCTCCACGGCGTCTCCAGACTCTGTCACGTCTGTCACATGTGCTCAGTGTGAACCTGCTTTGATCTGTGAAGAGCACAGGGCGCCAGTGGCAAATTTGCCAATCTTGGTGTTCTCTGGCAAATGCCAAACGTCCTGCACGGTGTTGGGCTGTAAGCACAACCCCCACCTGTGGACGTCGGGCCCTCGTACCACCCTCATGGAGTCTGTTTCTGACCGTTTGAGCAGACACATGCACATTTGTGGCCTGCTGGAGGTCATTTTGCAGGGCTCTGGCAGTGCTCCTCCTGCTCCTCCTTGCACAAAGGCGGAGGTAGCGGTCCTGCTGCTGGGTTGTTGCCCTCCTACGGCCTCCTCCACGTCTCCTGATGTACTGGCCTGTCTCCTGGTAGCGCCTCCATGCTCTGGATGCTACGCTGACAGACACAGCAAACCTTCTTGCCACAGCTCGCATTGATGTGCCATCCTGGATGAGCTGCACTACCTGAGCCACTTGTGTGCGTTGTAGACTCCGTCTCATGCTGCCACTAGAGTGAAAGCACCGCCAAAACATCAGCCAGGAAGCACAGGAACTGAGAAGTGGTCTGTGGTCACCACCTGCAGAACCACTCCTGTATTGGGGGGGTCTTGCTAATTGCCTATAACTTCCACCTCTTGTCTTTTCCATTTGCACAACAGCATGTGAAACTGATTGTCAATCAGTGTTGCTTCCTAAGTGGACAGTTTGATTTCACAGGAGTGTGACTGACTTGGAGTTACATTGTGTTGTTTAAGTGTTCCCTTTATTTTTTAGAGCAGTGAACAAAGGCAACACCCTTCTATAAGCAAGGAATCTCTGTATGTTTGTATGTATATTTGCTGTTGGGGTCAGTGCAGTTGATGGAGAGGGACAGGATGATGATGAGGTTGGAGAGAAGCAACAGGAGGAGGAGTTAAATGAAACCAGACAAAACAGTTACAGGTGCAGGGGCAATGTGTTTCTAGAATTAGAAAATGAAATAATGTTAGTCATGCTTATTACTGATGTTCTTACAGAGGTCAAGGTGACGGGTCTCTAGTTGTTTAGTCCTGTGGTCCTTGGTTTTTTGGGGACAGGAATGATGGTGGAGGTTTTGAAGCAGGCTGGCACATGGCATGTCCCCAGCGAGGTGTTAAAGATGTCCGTGAACACCAGAGACAGCTGATTAGCACAGTGCTTCAGGGTGGATGGGGAGACATCCAGCTCAGCTTCTTTACGGGGTTTCTGCCTCCTGAACAGTCTTTTGACATCCCTCTCCAAGATGATGAGGGATGGGGGTGAGGTGGAGATGGTGGACTTTGGCCGATCAGTGTGTGACGGGGAATGGTGTCCGGTCTGTCCCATTGTCTTTCAAAGTGACCGTAGAACTGGTTCAACTCGTTAGCAAGGCGTGAGTCGTTCGTGGAGTGGGGGGCTTTAGGTTTGTAGCTGGGGATCAGTCTGAAGCCTCTCCAGACAGAAGCAGAGTCATTTCTTGAGAACTGGTGTTGTAGTCTCTCTGAGTACAGCTGTTTTGCATCTCGCACCGCCTTGCTAAACCTGTATTTTGACTCCTTAAACCTGGACCGGTCCCCACTCCTAAACACCTCTTCCATTTCCAACCTTAGCTGTCTGAGCTTAGCTGTGAACCAGGGTCTGTCACTGTTATAATTCACTCTGGTGCGTGCTGGTATACAGCTGTCCTCACAGACACCGATGTAGGATGTCACAGCCTCTGTAAACTCATCCAGACTGATGGTAGAATCCTGAAAACATCCCAGTCAGTGCAGTCCTAACATGCCTGAAGGTCCTCTACAGCTTGACTGGTCCACTGCTTTGATGTCCTCACCACAGGTTTACAGAGTTTTACTTTCTGCCTGTATGCAGGAATCAGGTGGACCACGACATGGTCAGAGTGACTCAGAGCAACGCGAGGGACAGAATGATAGGCACTGCTAACTGTAGTGTGGCAGTGGTCCAAAATCTTCTCTTCTCCGGTTGGACATTCGACAAACTGTCTGTATTTTGGGAGTTCACGGCTGAGGTATCCTTTACTAAAGTCACCAAGAACGATAACCAAGGAGTCCGACAATGTCTCACAGTATCTGGTCAGCGAGCATGCGCTGTGCGTTGTGCTCGTTGGCCTGCGGTAGATTGTAAACACAGAGCAGAAAGTAGGAAGGAATGGTTTACAGTGTATCATTAAATATTCCAGGGCATGAGAACAGTGCTGCTGAATCACTGTCACGTCATTGCAACAGCCACCGTTGATATGAAAACAGACACCTCCACCTTTTTTTTGCTGGAAAGTTCTGTGTCGCCGCAGAGTCTGGTATTGATCCACAAAGCCACGTCTTCGTGAAGCACAGAACAGAAGATGAATAAAAGTCTCCACCAGTAGCTGAAATTCATCCAGTTTGTTGCGCAGTGACCGCACGTTAAATATTCCCGGTAGCGGTGTGCCTCTTTGGTGCAGTCGCACCAGCGTACCAGACCTCCTCCCCTTCCTCCGGCGTTTCACCGCATGAACAACGGAGAGTGAAGTCTTGACCATAATGTCCAATAATTCCACTGATGACACGAGAAAAGTGGGAATTAAAGCCGCTGGTGGTGTTCCCCTGATGTTTATGAGCTCTTCTCTGGTTAAAGGGCTCCGTGTATGACTGCAGGAAGCTAAGTTAGCAAACAAAAACAAAAAAAACAGAACGCAGCAAAATACCACGGCTGGCCAGAGCAGCGGCATTTTAATCATCCGAATTAAAACTCACTGCCTTTTACTTGTGTACTTACGTAAATCTGAATTTCATCATGCCATTATGGTCATAATTCATAATCTTAGCAAGTGGAAGCGTGGAGATGTTAAACACACAAGGCCTGAGAATAGGGCCTTGGGTAACCATATGTAATTTTTGTTTGCTCATAGTGTAATTAATGATCAACACAAGTAATTAATGTCCTTCAAATAGGATTCAGTCCAATTTTGGAATGCCACACAGTTTTATAGTTTGGTAATATACCGTGCTTGACCGTGTGCAACGCAGCAACACTTACATTAACACAAACTACTGTAGGTTAAATGATAGGCTTCACATTCACTATATGTTGTAAAACAGTAGTGTGCTAAGAGTTTAACAAGACTTGCACATAGTACGGGCACCTCACCAAGTGAGCCACCTACGCTCTGTGAAAATATGAATTTAACACCTCTTATTTAAAATGATACCATGGTGCACTGACAGTAAACACATTCAGCTACCTTTTAATAGATGAATATTATTACTGTTTATTAAATCAACCACAGTATGAAAGTCAACATAGGCACGGTGTATACAATCCATTTGCTGTTGTCACTTGACTGGCAAGTTCACCAATGAGATAATCCTGAAAACCTGATGTACTCCTGGGTGAAACAGTGAGGGAGGTACCCTGGGAGCCGTGTGCCCCCGCCAGCCTTTCGTTCCTTCTCCATTGCAGTATCAATAGCGGTAGGCTCGAGCACCAGTTGGCAGTCATGTCTTTCCCTGCACTGGACAACTCACTCAGGGGACTGTAAGAAAGTTTGATGAAAAGGGTGAGTCTCTCACAAAGGGAGTGCAGCACAGAGTTCTTAACCTTCTATCTCTCTGATTCTTTATCAGCTTTCCCTCTGAGTGAATGTGCAAAATCCCTGCTTTCAATTGCTTAAGCCGCTTGAATTGTCCTGATATAACCCAGACCCACTTTCTTTTAGCCCGGCAACAAACCTCCCTACCCCACTCCACCTGTACCCATGCACATATGCTCCTTCATGCTCTGAATACAGCCTGCTAAAAACTTGAATGAAAAACAGTCAGATGAACCGAAGATTGACTGCACTCTATTGTAGGAAATGAAAAATAGTGAAAATAACTGATGTTGTGCTTAGCTAAATGACCAAGGACAAGAGCCCGGTTAGACCAGCATTTATGGCAGCTAAATTAATTAAATTAATTTATTCCATAGGAATTGCCACAATCAGTGGAGCCACTTTAATTGAATTTTATTTACCAATTTATAACAGGAGTTATCACAAATGAAAAAGAATGCAGGCCTTACCTAAAGTCCTGGTGAGCTCAACTAGTTTTTGTCTCATGTCTGGTATTATTCTTGTATTAACAAAACTTTAACTGTCCATCACAGTCTCAATGAAAAGTTGCATTTGCCACTCTCATGCTTATTTCTACTTACCACTCTCTGCCTGGCTGTCTGCCCTCAGGCCAGCTCATATTACGTAAGGTTTGCCCCATTGAAGCTTAGCAACCAATCAAAAATGACAAATGACAATCTCTGACTGTAACAATACTTTGCATTACAGAAGATAGTTTGTAGACAGTTAAGAACCTAGCATGTTAGTGGTTAATCTGCCAACTACAGCTTCCCCACCAACTAGTCATTATGTAACCAAGCTTCCAGAATCACCTATGTCACAAGAATATGTAAATTCATTTTCCTGTGCCACTTTCTGACAGAGGGACAAGTTACATTTTGAATTTAAAGAGAACTGACGGGGAATTATCTTGGAAAAAGTTGTAGAAGAGGCATTACAGTAAAGAAAGACAGTCCAGAGTACACAGGAAGTGTGTTTCACATTGCCAGTGTAAGACTAAATACCAATCACCAGGTTCAACCATTAGGCTGTCCACTCTGCCCACTCTGTGTGTCTGTATATGAGTGTGTGATCCAGGCAGCAGATGCAGAGGCCTAGCCTGGGTGCTGCCTCCTCTTCATCCTAGTGCTGTAACAGGCCTCACCCCCCTCCTCTGCTCCTCTTGTTCAGGATCTGAGCTCATGCCGAAGGCCCTCTCCACCAGAATTGTAGGAGGAATTTGGTGGTTTTTCACGCTCATCATCATATCCTCCTATACTGCAAACCTTGCGGCCTTCCTCACCGTGGAGAGGATGGAGTCGCCCATCGACTCTGCTGATGACCTGGCTAAGCAGACCAAGATAGAATACGGGGTCGTAGAGGATGGCGCCACCATGACCTTCTTCAAGGTAAGTTACAGCTGGATATTATTAAACCAACTAGAGTCTTTTCTAGTGCAGTGTTTCACTGCTCTGTATCACCTAGGTATATACAGGTACACAATATGGGTATGTCAAGGCTAATGCTAAAGATGATTTTGATCAATTTGCAGCGATATTAAATGTGCCTATATCAATAGTTCAAATAAATATTTTTTTTTAGTTTTTGTTTATTGTCTTAAGATAGAAAAGCCTCAATGTATGTATAAAGACCTTACATAATGAACCGTTATGTTTTTATTACCATAGAATGAGCCATTTCTATCTACATAACCCTTACATGGACTTCGCCATGTTGCGCCATCATGTTTCTACAATAGCCCAGAATGGAAAACAGGGCTACAGAGCACGTTTCATCACAACATTCTTCTGCTCTTTGTAGAATTCTGGCAGTGTAAATGCTCGTCACTTCGTTGACTACGTACATTCAAAGAAGAAGAAGAAGAAGTAGCTATAATACACAGCAGGGGTCGGCAAACAAGTTTTGCATCGGAGCAATTTTTTATCCATGAGATGGTGGGTGAGAATATAAGGCGTAATATTTAAACTGAAGGATACGGTGTTTGGTTAGCTCACTTGGTAAAGTGTAGGACTCACGTGGAATGTCGCATGTTCAGTCCCACGTCAGGTGAAATTTTTTTCCCCCATTCAACAAATTGATCATGCAGCGACTGTTTCAAATGGGGACACTGCAGCACAAGCTTTATTGTGAGTGTTCTGGTGTTTGATCCGCATCCATCAACCTACGCTTTTTCATTTCCCCAGTATCTCCAGGCAGAGCAAATTTACGGGAATCACGTTTTGAGGGGGCTATTTCAAAGGTGTGTCAAGCAGGCTACAGACTCTTTTTAATTTAGTTCTGAATCTTTAAAGTAAAAGCTCTCACTTCAACTCGAAATAAGGCATTGCTGCAAAAAATAAATCAGTAAATATAATTTCTCAAAATATCTACCTAAAGAAATCTCATTTCTTGACTGGCTACTCTCTGCTGTCTCAGAAGACGACACCTTTTGTCCTGTGTCACTTGTGTCACTGTATCTATCTTAAGCCCTTTGAAAGGGGGGAGGGGGGTTAGACTAGACAGTTCGTTGCAACGTGGTTTCACGTGGTATTTCAATGCATTTTTTGCGTCATTTCATGCCTTTTAGTCTGAATTGAGTTCTATTGTGCAGAAACAGCATGCCATTTTACTCCTATTGTCACAGGGGAAAAACACCAGGTGTGGGATTTGAATAGCCATGAAAGTACGAAACTAGGCTTGCTACAACAATGTTACTTCTCCAAGCCTAAAGCTGGATTAAAAATTACAAGTGACCCTTTAATACAGGACAATAAAGGCAATGTGGCTATCATAGTTTATGTTGACTTCTGTGACAAAGTCAGCTGTAGTAAAACATGTTGGGAAATCAGCAGGAGTTTCCAGCATTTCTTCACCAATACTACACTATTTCAATTCAATTCAATTTTATTTATATAGCGCCAAATCACAACAACAGTTATCTCACAGCGCTTTTCATAAAAGAGCAGGTCTAGACCGTACTCTATGATGATATTTACAGAAGCCCAACAGTATATTGCCAAAGGTTTTGGGACGGCTGCCTTTGCAAGCACATGAAGGTTAATGACATCCCATTATTAATCCATAGGGTTTAATATGAAGTTGGCCCATGCTTAGCAGCTATAACAGCTTCAACTCTTCTGGAAAAGTTGTCCACAAAGTTTAGGAGTGTTCATGGGAATTTTTGACCATTCTTCTAGAAGCGCTCTAATTCATCCCAAAGGTGTTCCATCCATTTGGGGTCAGCACCCTGTGCAGGCTAGACAAGTTCTCCACACCAAACTCGCTCATCAATGTCTTTATGGACCTTGCTTTGTGCACTGGTGTGCAGTCATGTTGGAACAGGAAAGGGCCATCCCCAAACTTTTCCCACAAAGTTGGAAGCATGAAACTGTCCAAAATGTCTTGGTGTATGCTGAAGCATTAACAGTTCCGGCCAAGCCCAACCCGGAAAAACAACACCATAACACCTCCTCCACCAAAGTTTATACGCAATAAGTACCGTGCTCCTGGAAACCGCTAAACCTAGACTTGTCCATCGGATTGCCAGACAGAGAAGCGTGATTTGTCACTCCAGACAACACGTCTCCACTGCTCTAGTGTCCAGTGGCAGCGTGCTTTACACCACTACATCCGATGCTTTGCATTGTACTTGTTGATGTAAAGGTTTTTATGCAGCTGCTCTGCCATGGAAACCCATTCCATGAAGCTCTCTATGCACTGTTCTTGAGATAATCCGAAGGCCACATGACATTTGAAGGTCTGTAGCTATGGACTCCGCAGAAAGTTGGAGACGTCTACGCACTGTGGATGGTGGCCTTCACATGTCTGGTTAGACAACTTATCCTGGTCAGGGTCATGAGAAGCTGGAACCCTGTACTGGTCACCAATCTATCACTAGACTGACAGATAGATAGACTAAACACATTCACACTTACAGGCTATTTCCACTTCACCTAACCTGCATGTCCTTGCACTGCAAATGGACGCAAATGAGAGGACGTCTCATTTCTCTAAAAACATATTTCCTTATTTGTTCTCTCACATCATTTCATTGAAAAGATGAAGTGAGGAAAACTTGCCTGCATTAGAACTCTCACTGATAATTTTTCTCTTGCATTTCACCGATGGCACTCAGACGACTTTGAGATATAGCTTTTTTTCCAACACCTTGTTTTCATCAATCTGGGCAATAAGCACACGTGTGTTTGCAAACAACTGTGTGATAAATACGTGTGTTTTTTGTCTTCGTGCTGAAAGATACTCACACCAGTTCATTAGAAAACTGCTGTGGTGATAGGTGCACATACTTTTTATCATTTCACCATAGAAATTAATGAACACACCATGCTGAGGTCCCTCCAAATGATTTGTTTATTTCCCTTAATACATCATGGGATAGGTTCTCATTTGGCTTGCATGCATGGGTGTCAACTTTGAGAATATGTGTCATTATGCAAAATGACAAATATAGGTTTCAAACTTTTCTTACCTTTAACAAAATCACATAATGGTAGTAAAAAGAAAAAACAACCTTCCTTTTCAACTCTATGGGGACAGAAGTCACCTCATAAACACCCTGGAAAGTAGGTTGAGGTGGATTAGTTAGCATATTCACACAACTAACACAAACAAACCAGGTTGAACCTGCTCACAAGGGAATACTACAGAGTGATATGAGCTACATTCTTCCAGGGACGCAACGCCCCAGCTTTGGAGGAGGAGCAGCACTTCAAATCCCTTTTCTTACACAACCTCCGTGAAAATGTGCAGTACGACGTACAGTATAATGTGTGGTCAACGTGGCACTGCCAGTCAGACACCACCATTGCACTCGGCACCAAATCCTTGGACCAGGGCCAACCACGTATTTTCCCTTCTTGAACTTCCTGGGCAATCTTGTCCGTAAGGCCCGGCACATCTAAACCTCCACTATATTCAGGTTCTGAAATCAGTTGTGTGTGCCAACACTTTCTCAGAAGCGTGTAACTTCATCCACACCGCCATTGCTGAACTCCAGACTCAACACCCAAGTGCCCTCATAGTGATCTCGGGGTGACTTCAATCACGTCACCATGACTACCACACTAACTAACTTCACCCAGTATGTGAGCTGCCATACTAGAGAGGAGAGGACCCTGGACCTTCTGTATGCTAACATTAAGGATGCATACAGCCCTCTCCCCCTGGGCAGGTCAGACCACAACCTAGTTAACGTCAATCCCTGCTATGTGCCTCTGGTGGAAAGGCAGCCTGCGACCACAAGGACAGTGAGGAGATGGTCGGAGGAGGCCTATGAGACACTTCAGGCAAGTTTTGAGGTGACAGACTAGGATGCAGTTTATGAGCCACATGAAAAGGACATTGATGGGCTTACTGAGTGCATCACAGACTACATAAACTTCTGTGTGGACTGCACTGTCCCAGCAAAAACTGTCCATTGTTACTCAACCAACATACCGTGGGTAACAAAGGACATCAAGGACATCCTGAATGCAAAGAGGAGGGCTTTCAGAGATGGTAATAGGGAGGAGGTGAAGGCCATTCAGGGGGAGAAGTACAGGAGGAAGCTGGAGCAGAAACTGGAGCGGCATGAAGAACGTCACTGGCTTCAGACCGACTGGCAGCAGAAGAGTTGAAGGAAGCTTGGACAGGGCCAACGAACTTAATCTGTTTTTCAACATATTTGACTCAATGGCTGCCCATCCCCCCACTAACTCAGCTGCTGTCTACCCTCAAACACCTCCAACCCCACTACTCCCTTTTTCTCCTTACTGTCCCCCACCCTCCTGGGAGAACCCTATCCCCCCTCTCCTACTACTACTGTGACTTGTAACTTCTGTGTGCCTCACTGCTGACCAGGTGAGAAGGCAGCTGAGAAGACTTCACTCTAACAAGGCTGCAAGTCCTGATGCTGTCCGCCCTGGGGTACTCAAAGCCTGTGCCCCCCAGCTATGTGGATAACTTCAAAGTCTTCAAAGGGTCCCTGTGCTGTGGAAGACATCTTGCCTCATTCCTGTACCAAAGATGCCATGTCCCAGTGGCTCCAAGGACTACAGACCTGTGGCACTGACCTCCCACATAATGAAGATCCTGGAGAGGCTGGTTAAGCTGCGGCCCATGGTCAGACCTCTTCTGCCCCCCCCCCCCTCCCCAAACTACTTTGTCACATAGTGCGAGCACAACCACCTGCAGCTCAACGTGACAAAGAATAAGGAGCTGGTTGTGGATCTAAGGAGAGCCAAGGCACCAATGACCCCTGTTTCCATTTAGGGGGTCAGTGCGGACATTGTGGAGGACTACAAGTACCTGGGAGTGCACATGGACAATAAACTACACTGGGCCAAGAACACCCAAGCCATCTACAGGAAGGGCCAGAACTGTCTCTGTTTTCTGAGGAGGCTGAGGTCCT